ATATTTTGTGGAATTTCATCTAATCAAATATTAGCAAGTATTTTAGATATGCAAGATTGGGGAATCAAATTTTATGAGCAACAACAATGTACTTATATTGTACTTTGTGATTATAAAGATATTGTTGAAGAAGAAAATCCTATTATACAAGCTATTGTACAGCAATCAGCTTATAATAAGAAGTTTTATAAACCAAAATATAAACAGGGTCAATTAGTAGTAGAATAGAAAAAACAAAAAACTACTGAGATGAATGGTAATATTACTCAAGCGGGCCATATTTATTTTCATTTTTATATTAGCCAAGCTATAATTTAAATGAATTACATGCAGCAAATTATTTAATAACAAATTATTTAATTACTTTAAATGTAAAACAATAATTTAATTGTTTTTATATATTTATATGAATATTTTGTGGTCATTAATTATTTACTGAAGTATTATTATAATAAAGCATTCAATTTTCATGTTGTAGAATTTCTATAATTGCATTATCACCATGCATCGTTTTATTAAGAAAATATGCTATTTGTTGATGATTTTTCTTTTTGACTCTACTACATGAAAATGCTGCTAACCCCATTCTCGATAAATTGTCATAAATTCAGAAATATGATAAATCAGTATATAAATATATGGCGTCATGTCATCAGGTCAATATAAACCTTTTTTAAATTCTTGAGTATTTGGAATTCTTTCAGATAGTAATAAAAATAAGGCAAACCACTTTTTTGCATAATACTGAAAGCCTTCACCTTTTGTTTCAGGATTCTTTATCATTTTATAAAGTTCATAAAATTTGTTCCATGATTTTTTTATAATACTAACACGATTTTTTGAGAGAATTGTTGATAAATCAAAAAATCGCAACACTTAAAGCTTATCGTCCCCCGTATAATTCCAATTCTTAGATTCTCGATTTTGCCAAAACTGAAAACTAACATGAATTCTACTCATTTCTTCTATGATAATTTTCTGTTAATATCATTAAATAAATTATATTCAATTAATTCAGCTATTACAAGACTCCATAATCGATCAGTGATTCTAAGCATAATATGCAATTTATTAAGAATCTAACAATGAAGAGGTATCATATTAAAAAGTGGTATTTTTGAATGTCCTTTGTAGGAATTAGGATGTTCGACTA